GAGAGCGGGGCCTGCTGCCCGTCCTGTCCCGCCTCGGAGCCGGCGAGCGCGGCGTGAGGGCCGGGCGAGGCAGGGCGGCGCTGGGCTTCCGCCAAGGACAGGCTCTCCAGGGCCCGGCCGCGGCAAGAGCGGTGGGGCAAGGGCTCCTGGAGGTAGGCTCTTCTTCGCAGCCGTGACCTGGTTTCGCCGGGGCTCCAGGTGGCCCTGGGCGTAGGCGCTTCTGGCCACTTGCTTAGCCCGTGGCCTGGTGACAGCTCTCCGGCACCCCGGTGCTGTGCCCTTCTGCCTGGCGCGGCAGCTGGATGCGGTGTGGCATCCTAGAGGCCTGTGGCCTGGCGCGCGCCGTGGTCCTGGCCGGCTGTCCCCCCTCATGCGGCCCTGCGTGGGGTGGGCACGGTCCGCCCCGTGCTGTGCAGCGTCTGTCCGCGCACCCGCCTGGCAGCCTGGGCTCCACCTGCACCTGCCGCTCGCTGCCCCGGCGTAGAGAACGGCTGGCTCTGGGGTGGGAGCACGTGACCCGTGCTGTTAATTGGCGTGTCTGGCTGATTAGCCATGCAGATGGCAGCGCTTGCTCTCCCCTGCTGCCGGGGACACAAAGGGATGCAGCGTGCACGGGAGAGGCCCGTCCTGCCAGCATCCCGGTCCGGCTGTGCCACCCGCGCGGGGCAAACCTGGCTCCCGGGGGGCCAGTGGGTCACTGACCGCTGTCCCTGGCTGGTGGGGGCAGGAGCTGGGCTGCCCCGGGTTGAGACCCCGCTGCCCTGCTGTTCCCTTGCAGCTCGTGCCCTGTCTGGGGTGAGGTGGGTGCCTCCTTGGCGAGGGCAGGGCCTGAACCCTTTGGGCCCGTGGAGGGGCAGTGCCTTGTCCCGGGCGCAGGCCCAGGTTCGTTGGAGTCGTGCCCGGGGGCATCGAGGCGCCTGGCGAGAGGGCAGAGAAGGGGCGGCAGCCTTGGGCAGCGGTCAGCAGGGCCCCGGGTGGGAGACGTGCGAGCAGGCGGTCGTGTGGGGTGGCTGAGCAGCTCGTTATCTGCCCGTCACCGGGCGCTGGCTGCTGCGAGGGCTGCACGGGCCTGGCACACTTGTTGCCTCCGCCTGTTTGGAGGCCTGCGGAGCACCAGGGGCCTGCCCTGCCCAAGTCCCACGGCCCTGACTGGGACTGGGGGGGACGCAGGGCGGCTGGCGGGGCACGAGCTGGGAGCCAGGACTTGCAGCACAGCCGGGGCTGGTGTGGATGTGCTGGGCCTTGCCGAGTGCTTCCTGCCTCGGGCTGGGCCCAGGGGAGTGTCCTGCGCTGAGCGCGGCCCCGGGGAGGAGCCGGCCGTGGGGGCGGCAGGGTGCACCTGGCCCTACCTGAGAGGCCAGCAGCAGTGCCGGCTGCAAAGCATGCTGGGAAAGGGCAGAGGTACACGTACGTGTGCAAGGGACCGCTGCTTCTGTCCCTGCCTCTCCGCGCAGGTAAGTGCCCATCCCGCCGCGGGACAGTCCTGGCCTGGGGCTGGGAGCGAAGGACGGTGGCGTGGGCGTGCCCCAGGAAGGGGCAGCGTGGCCCAGGCTGCTCCGGGCGCGGCGCGGCTCTGACTTGCTGCGGTGCCTGCTCACGGCAGCTCCTGCGGGGTCGCGGGTGCCCAGCAAGAGCCTCCACGGTGCCCTGATTGTTGGCCCAGGCTTGCCGCCGTTGGGCCCTGTCTCTTCCTGCCAGCAGCCAGGCCCGAGTGCCCTAGGTCCTGTCAGCGGGCGTGGAGCCGGCAGCTCCTCCCGCAGCGAAACCAGGTGCCAGGAGCTCCTGGCAGGGGAGCGGGTTTTTCTCCTGACTCAGGTTTCCACCTCCCCGCCCATGTGCTCCCTGCCCAGGAGGGAGTCTGCCGGGCCTGGGGGAGCAGGTAGGAGCCGGCAGATCCGACACCCATAGCGCTCTGTTCCCTCCGGGAGCCAGAGGGAAATAGGCCCGGTGCAGCGGAGGAGCAGGCGGCCAGGCGCCTGGGATCTGTGGGCTCTGCCCCTTCCCCCTCTGGGCCTCAGCCTGCCCATCTGCAGAATGGACGCAAGCGGTGCTGTCTGCATGAGCGGCACAAGCCACTGCCCTGGCCTGCATCTGGAGATGATCCCGTTGCTCCTGGCTCTCCTGCCCTTTCCGCTGGGCCGTCCCTGGCCTCTGCTTCCCAGGGCTCCTGCCCAGAGCGGGTGCGCGGCACGCAGCCTCTTAAAGGGCCCTGGGCCGAGAGCCAGCAGCACGGCTCCGGAGCACTTCCCTGCCTGTCCCGAGCATGGTGGGCTGGAGCGGCCTGGCTTCCTGTGAGTTGTGCGCTGCTGGGGTCCTGCCGGGGCCTCCATCCGGGCTGCGGCTTGTTTGTGGAAGCAGACCGGCCCGTGGAGCCGCCTCGGCCGCAGGGCGGGCCCGGGGAGCTGTCTGCTGGTGCAGCCCTACCGGTGCCCGTGCTCAGGGGTCTGCGTTGTGTCTTGGTGCCTCCACCTCACCCGCTTGCCTCGCACGTGTGCGGCTCTGGGGGCACCGGCACGTGCTATCCCTCGTGGGCCGGGCACAGCCAGCCTGGCCAGGAGCTGCGTAGTGAGGGCAGGTGGGGATGTGTCCCTGGCCAGCTCTTTTGCCCCTTGCTGGGATGGGCACAGGGCTGTGGCCGCCTGCCTCTCCCCCCCGCCTCCCTCCAGACCGGGGCGGCCACGGGATGAAAGAGCCACTGTTCTGGAGGTCACTCGGGGCGTCACGGGTTGTGCGCGGCTCCGGCTAATTTTAGCCGCCCTGCAGCATCGTGCTTGCCCAGGGTCCCGCCACTTGCTGTCCTAATGCCGGTGGTTGCCTGGCCGGGGTCCCGAGCTCCTCCCTGCTGCCCTGCGCCCACCCTCCCTTTTCCCAGGGGCAAGCGTGGGGGCACCGTGGGGGCCAGGCCAGGCCCTGACAGAGGCCTCTGTTCCCTGGAACAAGGAGCTTCTTGAGCAAGTGGGCGAGAGACCCTCAGTGCAGGGCGTCTGCGCAGCCGGGAGCGCAGGGATGTGCTGGGCAAGACCTGTGCTCCGACATAGCAGCGGGGCCGGGCAGCACTTCCAGGGGAGGCTGCATAATCCTGCTCCAGCGCCTGCTCGGGATGGCCCGGAGCGGGTCATCTGCTGGGATCCATCCTGGACGGGCCTTGCTTGTGGGTGGGTGCCCGAGCTGGTAGCTGCAGGCTCTGGGATGCTGGGAGAGCCTGGGGGTGTCCATCTGTCCATCCATCGCTAACCCGGGGTCTCCCGCATGTCTCTTGCAGAGCCCCAGTGGCACGGGAGCTGCCCTCCGCCGCCTGCCGCGTGGAGCCACGCGCTCCCTGGGTGCAGCCCAGCAGCCATGTTCAACCTGATGAAGAAGGACAAGGAGAGGGATGGGTCCCGCAAAGAGAAGAAGGACAAGAAGGAGAAGAAGGAGCGGATGTCGGCGGCTGAGCTGCGGAGCCTGGAAGAGATGAGCCTGCGCCGCGGCTTCTTCAACCTCAACCGGGGCTCCAAGCGGGAGTCGCGGGCGCGCCTGGAGATCTCCCACCCCATCCCCATCAAGGTGGCCAGCGGCTCCGACTTGCATCTCACCGACATCGAGGCCGACGGGCACGGCGGCAGCGTGGTGCTGGACTCGGGCCAGCTCAGCACGGCCAGCTCCAGCGACGACCTCAAGGTGGACGATGGCAACTTCAAGGGCTCGGTGCTGCAGCGGGCCGCCAAATTCGGCTCCTTGGCCAAGCAGAACTCGCAGATGATTGTCAAGCGCTTCTCCTTTTCCCAGCGGAGCCGCGACGAGAGCGCGTCAGAGACCTCCACGCCCTCCGAGCACTCGGCCGCCCCCTCCCCGCAGGTGGAGGCCCGGACGCTGGAGATGCAGCTGGCCAAGCAGGGCGCGCCCCCGGGCCACCCGCGGCCCGCTTCCTCTTCCTCCTCCTCCTCCTCCTCGGCCCCGCGCTCCCGGGTGCCCGAGCTCGTTGGCAAGCGGTTTGCGGCCGAGCTGCGGCTGCCCGCCGTGGTGCCCCCCCAACCCCCGGCGCCCCGGGAGCTGGAGCTGCAGCGGCGCAACACGGGTGACTTCGGCTTCTCGCTGCGCCGCACCACCCTGCTGGACCGGGCACCTGACGGGCAGGTGTACCGGCGCGTGGTGCACTTTGCCGAGCCGGGCGCCGGCACCAAGGACCTGGCGCTGGGGCTGGTGCCGGGCGACCGGCTGGTGGAGATCAACGGCCGCAACGTGGAGAGCAAGTCCCGGGACGAGATCGTGGAGATGATCCGGCAGTCGGGCGACACGGTGCGGCTGAAGGTGCAGCCCATCCTGGAGCTGAGCGAGCTGAGCCGCTGCTGGCTGCGGGGCAGCGCGGGGCCACGCAGAGCCGCCATTGACGTGAGTACCCGCCGTGCCCGTGCTCGGGGCCGGCCGCGCGCCCGCCCGACCCCCGTGAGCTCCGTCACCGGTGCTGGGGGCTGCGGGTGATGAGGGCACAGCTGCAACCAGAGGGAGGGTTCGCAGGGGCTGGTTTGGAAGCCGTGCCCAGGGCTGGCGCTGCGGGCAGCGTGGTCGGTCACTCCGGCAGCTGGCGAACTCAAATGTCTGCTTGGAGCCTTCTGGGTTTTTCCTGTAGAAAGTGGGATTTAGGGACCCAAAGCCAGGCCTTGGTTTGAGGCGTGGGGGAGACTTAATCTTTACCCTGGCGCAGCAGTGCCCGAGGCACATTCGGGAGACCCGGGGTGCGTATCCTCTGGGTGAAGGGTCCCCGGTGTGACCCGGCTTGCCCTGGACGGGTGGTGGGAGGCTCGCTGGAGTTTCCAGGAGCTGGTTCGTGGCCGTGAGCCGGAGCGCGTCTGCAGCTGCAGGCACCCGGGGCCTGACCTGCGGGGTCCCGGCGGGCCAACCGGCCTGGCTCAGGGTCCGCAGCCTCCAGCTGCAAAACCATCTGTGCAAATGTGTGTGTGCATGCATCTGCGTGGCCACGTGCAGTGCCTCCACCCCCACGCACGTCCCCCCGAGCCCATCCGTGGGGCATGTCTCTGTCTGATGTCATCCGGTCCAGCTGCGCAAGGGGCTGGACTCCCTGGTCCCGGAGCCGTCTGGGAGGTGAGCATGCCGGGCGCTCCCTTTGTGAGCCCAGCATGGGCTGCCAAGGCCAGGGAGCTGCCGTCCCTGCTGCTTATCTGCTGGCAAGGCCGAGGCAACCCCATGCGCTTCCCGCCCCGCCTCATACGTCCCAGCGCCTGTGCAGTCGTGCATTGGTGCCAGTGGAGCTGGTGCTGACGGGTGCAATGAGGTGGCACAAACAGGCCCCCTGCCATGCCGGCCCCCAGGGAGGGCAGGGCTAGGAGCTCCGAATTGGGGGCCAGGACGTGGCACCCCGGCCAAGATGCCCTGACGAGGGCAGGGCACCTGCGGGCACCGGCTCAGCCGGGCCGCGCACCCGCTCTCGGGGGCAGGTGGCTGTGCCAGGGCAGCGAGGGGCTCTGGGCCATGGGTGCTGGCCCACAGCCCTGGAGGGAAGCGTGCGGTGTCCGCGAGCAGCTGTCGGTGGAGAGCCCCGTCCCTCCCGCCGCGTGGGGCCCGGAGCAGCATGGGTGCTCTGCCTTGGCACCCGACTGGCTTGCACGCTGCCCCGGGGCCCGGGAGAGCCGGGGGTGCTGTGCCCGCCCTGGGGCTTGGCAGGGGCTGCCGGCCTGTGGCAGCTCCGCCTCGGCTCCCCCGGCCCCGCCAGGCTCCCTGGAATGTTTCTGTTCCTAATTTAAATTAAAACGATGCTTTTTCTGTGTCGAGCAGGAAATGATCTACATATTTTGGGCGCTTGCTTTGGAAACCCCTCCTCAGCGCGGAGCGGCGGGGGGGGCTTGTCGCTGTGTGCACGGGGCCAAGTGCTGCAGGCCCCGCGGCTCCTGCAGTGAAGACCCTGCTCTCACCCGCTCATCCCGGGCTGGCACCAGCCGGTGGGCAGGGGGCACGCGAGGGGAGTGCTGCTGTGGTGCCTGTGGGCAGGTGTCCACCCCGTGTGGTGCGTGGGTCGCTGCATGGTGGGGTGGGATGCGCATGCTCTGGCTCATCCAGTGGTGGCAGGGAAGGAGCCGCTTGGGAGCCCCCGGGAATCCTCCCCGAGGTGCCCGTGCTCTGGGCAGCATCACCATGCCAGGCCGGTCCCAGCGTGGCCCCCGTGCCAGGTGTTGGGGGGTCAGTCCTGCATCAAACCAGCTGGGCCCGTGGCATTGAGGCAGGACGCGTGGCTTTGACCGCTTGCAGACAGCCCGCTCCCTGCCGCCTGGCCCCGAGCTGCCTCAGGATGCGGCAGGGGGGCGCCTGGATGGGTCACCCCCATCCCCACCTCATCTCCGGCTTCGGGGCGGGTGGACAGGTCTGCCTGGTGTGGCAGCGTCTCCGGCGCGGAGGCCGCCACGGTTGGAGCCGCTCGGGGCCGTGGCCGCGGGACCTTGTCGTGGCGGCGACGCCGAGGCCCTGGCCCAGCCGGGCTGGCTCTGCTCCAGGCCTGCGAGGGTTTGTTTACCAGGGAAATTCCTCTGGCCGGACCCAGGCGTGCGCAGGCCTGCTCCGGCCGGCTGAGGCACGCCAGAAACGCGCTGCGCTGCTCCAGACCACAGCTATGCCGCGCTTGGGCCAGCAAGACCCCGCGCGCCCTTTGGCCCACCCTGGCCCTGTTTGCCCAGGGGAGGTGTCAGGGTGCCCGGGGGGGGCAGAGCTCAGGGCTTGGCACGGGGGTGCTTGCCGGGCGCTAAGGTCCCGGAGCGGGGCCGGGAGCGGCAGGCCTGGGGGGAGCCGGCGCGTGCGTCGGGCCGGGGAAGGTGCAGCCGCGGCCTCTCGCTGGGGCTGGGGGAGGAATGAGAGGAATCTGCTGGTGGAGCAGAAATGCTCGCTGCGAGGCGAGAGCAGGGTCCGGCCGGCCGGCGAGCGCCGCATTCCTGAGCCCCGGGCCGGGGAGCGCGGACCCCCGGCCGGCTGGGGCAAGCCCCGGGGGCACGGAAAGGGCCAGGCGCTGCCCTTTCTGGGTGCGCTGGCGCCAGGGCCCAGCAGCTTCCGGCAGCCCCAGGGCTGCTCTGCCTGCCTGGGCATCGCTCGCCTCCCCCAGCTGCTCTGCGGCGCCGGGGGCAAGGAGAGCGGCTGCACCAGGCGTGAAGGTCAGGGAGCAATCGTGCCAGCGCCTGCCTCCTGGGCTCTGGCACTGGCTGCGGCTGCGGGGCTGAGCGGCCGGCCAGTGGCAGGGGGTGGTGGGACCCTCTCTGCCTGTGCTGGCACCAGGCGGCTGGGTTCGCTGGACCCCACTGGGTCGCTGTGCCCTGCTCTGGGTTTCGCCGCCCACGGTGCTCCCTGCCCTGCGGCCCGGGGTGCGTCCGGCTCTGCAGACTCATGCCGGTATCGGTGGGGCGGGCTGCACCGGCATCCTCGCCCGCGCCTGCCCTCCTCCCGGCGCCCCGGGCTGCAGCCGGGCTGGATTCCTGCGCCGTGCATCACACCCCGTGTGTGGCGTGGCAAAGCCGGTGCCCTGCCCCTGGGTGTGCCGCGTGGCTCCGGCAGGGCTGCTCCTCCGTGGGGCTGGCACCCAGCCCTCCCACGTCTGGGCTGGGAGCAGGGGCCAGCGAGGACCCAGCGCGCGGGGGTCTCGGCTTGGCTCCATGCTTTGCCCGGCGGTGCCAGTTTGCAAAGGGTGCGTGCCCGGGGCATGGAGCAGGCTGGGCTCGAGCGCCCGGGCGGTCACGGGGCCTGGCTCCAGAGCTCAGCCCGGCTTCCTGCCGTGCTCCTGGCTATTGTGTGCCTGGCCCTGGCAGCCTGCGCGCTGCTGCAGACCTTTGCCCCCCTCCCCTGTTTCCAGGAAGCGGGGAGGGCTGGAGCGCGGGCCGTGCTAACGAGCTCCGCCGGCTCCGTCCCCAGGGCCGCGTAGGAATCCGTCTGTGCTGTCTCGTGTCCCGGCGGCGCGGCCAGAGGCCCCTGCCTTGGCTGGGATCCCCAGGGCATGGGCATGGGGACGTGCCCTGTGGGGCTGCTTTGGGGGAAACTGAGGCAGCAGGGGCTGGGGGCCGCCTGCGAGCGAGGAGGCTGCCGGTGCTGCTGGCGCGTGCCCGCGCGGGGTGACGGGATGCGGCTGTTCCCGTAAGCGCTGGAGGGAGCATCCGGGCTGCGCTCTGGCCCTGGGCCAGCTGCACAAGAGCCTCTTCCCATCAGGTCCGACCGGAGCCGTCACTGGGAGCATGGAGCTGGCGCCAGCCCAGCCGCGGCTTCGGCTCCGAGGAAACCCCCGATCTGTGCCCACGGCCTCGGCTCCGCCTGGCCGCCCGGGGGTGTTGGGTTTGGGTGTGCATCGGTGGGGGGGTGACGGGGGAGCCGGGTCTTGCAGGGTGATGGGGGAGCCGGCCCCTTGTTTCCATGCAGGGGCTGCCAGGCCTTTCCAGCCCGGTCTGTGCCATAGTCGGCTGCTGGGGGCCACGGGGCTGGTGGCATCAGTGCTGCGAGGTGGGGGCGTTTGTGGGCTCTTCCTGGGGTGCAGGCTGGTCTGGGGGGGGAAGCCGGGACACCCCCCACGTGTCCCCCCAGCCCGCGCCATGAGTGTGTGCCACTGCACATCCTGCTTCCCCGTTTAATTCATTTTGGTTCCCCTCGTTGCCAAGGGAATGGTCATATGTTTGTGCCGGAGGTGTGCAAAAGGGGATCAGGGAGCGCGGGCAGCACTGGGGCCCTGCTGTGGGGGGTGGGGGTGCCCCCATGTCCCTGGGGGCCTGGCCTGATCCTTCCTCCCCCTCTTGGATGGGGTCTGTGCAACCTGGGGCCAGGCTGGCGAGCAGGGGCCTGGCAGGGGTGGCTCAGGGCAGGCATCGCAGTGCAGCAGGGCGGGCAGCGGGTGCCCCAGGACCTGGCGTCCTGTCTCGTGCGGGGGCCTGGCCCTGCATGCTCGACACTTGCTCCTCTGTGCCCTGGGGCAGGGGTCTGGGCAAGTCGGGGGTACGGGCTGGGCCCCGGGGGGGAGCGAGGAGCCCGTAGGCCCGGCTGGGCGGTGTCCCCCCCACTGTGCCGCACACCCCGTGCAGCTCCTTGCACGGGGCTCCCGGTGCTGCCATCTGCTGGGTGCCGGGGGTGCGGCAGGTCATAGCCGTGTCCCGAGTACCGGCCCTGCCCGCTGGGCTTGGGCCGCCCGCTCGCTTGCAGGGCACCCGTCGCTGTGCTGTGCGGGACGCCCACAGTGCCGCCTGGCCCAGCCAGGGTTTGGGGTCCACCTGGGTTGCCCCGTTTCTCTGCTCACCACCAGCACAGACGAAGCCTATCCGCCTCCGCATCCTGGGCGGCTCCAGGGAGGACCCCCTATACACGCGTGGTGCATGGAGCGTGTGGCCCAGCTGCTCTTGCCGCAGGGTTTGGCACGGTGCAGCCTGGCGCTTTGGCTCCAGGGCTCGGTCTGGCTGGCTCAAGGCGCGGGGCCAGCTGCAGCCCTGGGGAGCTGCCTGGCACGGCCGGCCCACTGCCTTGGGCATCTCGGGGGGCAGAGGGGCCTGGCTCAGTGCACGGGAGGGGACGTGGCAGAGCAGGTGACGGTCCTTCCGGCCACCTCTGGAAAGGGGAAGTCCGGCTCGGACCCAGACGGCTGCTCCTTCCTGTGCCCGGCGGGGCAGGAGGGGGGACCCTGCCTGCTCCCGGCCGCAGTCGCGCCACACGCGGGGGCAGGAGGTGCGAGCTGGCGGGACCCCATGCACCAGCCCCCGTGGCAGCCTGGTGCCCAGTGCAGGCTCCTTCCCTCCACCCCAGGGCAGGCACGGAGCCGGTGGCACCGTGCTGGGCTGCGTGACCCTGCCCCTGAGCCATGCGGCCCCCCCCCGCGCGGCAGGCCTTGCTCGGCTCGGGGAGGCTTCCTGCCCAGAGGCACGGCTGAGCCTGGCTTGCAGACACCCACATCACTTCCTCTCCCGGCAGCGACGGGCCCTCTCCAGCGGTGCGGCGCGGCTCAGGCTCTTTCCATGCAGGCGCTGGGACGCTGGGCAGAGGCGAGTGGAGGGGGCGAGGGAGGGGGCGGCGGGACTCGGCCTCGCATTCCTGGGCTATTTTTAGGGCGGCCGTATCAGCCCAGCTGTCCCGGGGCCTCCGGCGGCGTGCGGGGAAGTGACACGGGCTCGCCGATCGCATTTCGCTCGCTCGCCCTGCAGCGGAAGCCGCCTGCTCTGCGCCCTTCGCTCGCCGGACCCTCCGGTAAGGGGGGGACCCCCCTGCGGGGCTCCCCCGAGTGCCGGTGGGAGCTACCCATGCCCAAGCGGGGAGCTGGCTGGGCCGTGGGGCTGGGGCGGGCAGGCCACCGTTGCGTGCCTGGGATATTTATAGCCGCCCCTCGGGCTGGCACGGATGTGGCTGCCCATGACTCCACTGTGCAGCTGGCCCGGGCTTGGCGGGGGTGTTGGAAACATGGGGGTTGGTCCCCCGGGCTGGCTGCGAGGGGCTTGGGGGGGCCTCGTCTGAGCCGCTGGTGCATGGGCTGGGCACTGGCTCTGCCCAACACCGGGCGCTAGCACGAGGAGCCCCTCACCCCTCCGGGGCTTCGCTGGCCACGTGCCTCGGTGGCTTGTGACAGGCCGGGAGCCCCGTGGGCTGCGCTGGGTGTGCCGGGGGCACCGGCTGGCAGCTCGGTGCAGCTGCAGCAGCCGCCGGGCAAGCGAGCTGCCCTCTCTCCGGGCCCCGGGGCAGCGCCCGCCTGCTGCTCCGCGCCCCTCGCTCCCATCCTGCCCGGGCGCGCAGCAGCCAGCAGCACCTGACGCCCCGTCAGCGGCTCAGAATAACCCATGAGCGCAGGGGAGGCTTGCCTGGTGACTCGCCCCCGCCCGCGACCCCCGGGCCCTGCCCTGCGTGCTCCGGGCCGAGCCCTTTCGCCCCGACTCCGACGCGGGCCGGCGCTGTCCGCACGGGCTGAGTTGGCGGGGCCTCACCCTCGCCCAGCGCCTCTGGGAAGGGGCTGCGGGGGCCGCTGGTGGCACCATTGTGGGGGCAGCGGGGGCTTCAAGGCCCGTCCTGTCCCTGCGGCTTCCGGCGCCCGAGGACAGAGGCTGATTGTGTGGTGAGCTCGGGGGAGGCAGGGCCGAGCCGGCCCGTGCAAGGCTATCGCAGCTCCGCGCAGGGTCCTCTGCCCCGTCCTGGGCTCCAGGCCTGAGGAGGAGGAGGTCGGTCCCCTGCGCTCAGAGCCCCGAAGCACCTGGTCCCCAGCGCGGGCGCGTGGCTGCGCCTCTCCGCCACCGCAGCGCTTCACCTTTGCCCTCTCTCCTCGCAGCCAGGGCAGCCGTCCTGCTCCAGCTCCATGCGCGGGCGCCATGGCCTTCTCCTCGCGGTTTGCATTCTGGGAACAGAAGGGAAGTGTTGCTCGCGGGGGCACGTGCATGGTGGGCGGCATGCTGGCGGGGGCTGTCCGGCTTCGGGGCTTCCCTTGTCACTGTGGGCTTGGGCGTACGCAGCCCCGCTCTTGGGCCACGGGTGCTTGCGCGGGTCCCCGTCCTGGGCTCTGACCTCATCGCAGGCTGTGACCTCGTCCTTGTTTTTGGGTGAGAACTGAGTCACATGGGGTCTAAATTGGGGCTCTGAGAGCAGGGCAGGCGGGGGCTGTGTCAGGGCATTGGAGACGCCTCCTTAAGACGCTGCCGTGTCCTGCGAGAGCGGCTGTCGTCTCCCGGCCGGAGAGCGGCGTAGGGCCGCGTGCCCGAGTGGTGGGGTCCGGGCACAGCAAAATGACCAAGCACCCGGTAAGCAGCTGGGAGCCTGGGATAGCCCCAAACCCGGGACGGGTTGGTGTGTGCGTGTGTGCATGCGTGTACACGCGTGTGTGTGGCCGCGGGCCGTGCCACTAGTGCATGGTTTGAGTGTGTCTGTTACTAACTTTGCTTGTCACTGTCCCCTCCCTGGAGCTCTTCTGACGCCGCTTTAATTGCGCTGGGGCCGGGGGACGCCGTGCCACCCCCAGACCCGGTGCCGGGGAGCAGAGCCGGGCCGCATCCAGAGCGGGCCGTTCCCATGGGTGCTGGGTCGTGCGCTGGCTCTGGCGCCCCGAGGGAGGGCCGGCTGGCAGCTGGAGTGACGCGGGAGCCGGGGGAAGATGCCTGATAGGGGCAAAGGCAGGGCCCTGCGCTCACTTTCCTTTCTCGCTGCTGTGACTCGGCTCGGCTCAGCTGTCAGAGCCTGCCGGAGACACGGCCGAAAGCCAGACCCCTCCTGGGGCGAGAGCGCCGGCTTGGGTTACTCGAGCCCTGCCTGCCCTGGGCTGTGTCCCGCGGGGCTGGGTCCTGTCTCCGCTTTCCCCCGGCCCGGTGCTGGGGCTCTGCTCTTGCAATCCTGGCAGATGCATTTGGCCTCCTCTTGAACGGCTGCAAGCAGCAGGCCCGGGGCAGCGAAGCCCTGGGCCCACGACCCCCCCACAGACAGGTGCAGGCTTCCCCTGGGACCAGCCCCTGCCAGTCACGGTGCCCAAGGGGGGCTGGTCCTCCCTTGCCCCGAAGCCTGGGCACCCACAGTCCCCGCATCCGTGCTCCCCCCCACCAGGGCTGCCCATGGGGGACCGGGCCGGCGTAGCAGCAGCCTCGGCCCCCGCGCTGCACCCTGCGTCACCCCGGCCCTGCACGTGCGTGCGCACGCCTGTCGAACCCGCGATTGAAACGCGCCCCTTCTCTATCTGACCCTTCAGGTTAAGGACGAGGACAAAACTTTGTCCGTGAGAAAGCCCGGGAGAGAGGAAGGGGCTGTAAGTGTGGGATCATGGGGTGGGTTGGAGGGGGGCTGTGCCGGCGAGGACCCCAGGCCTGGACAACCCTGTGTGAGACGCCCGTGGCGGGGACTGAATTGCTGGCCCTCTGCCCCCTGGGTGGGAGCTGCTCCCCAGAGGTGGCTGCATTTTGGAGGCTGACTGGGGGCCGTCCGGGCGAGGGGAGCACGAGCCGCTCGTGAAGCGCGGTCTGGCTGCCGCGGGTCTCCGTGACGGGCAGCCCGGGCTGGGCTGGTTGGTGCCAAAACTGCTCCCCTCACCCCCACCCCCACGAGCCAGCGCGGTGCTGGCCTGGCACGGCGCAGGCTGCAGCCGCAGAGCTGGGTGGGCGCAGCGGACCCGCTCCTCGCGGCCGGAAGGTACCCGAGGGGGTCCGGTGGGCTGGGGGATGGAGGAAGTGGTGAGCCCTGCGGCATCCCCCCTCCCGCACGGCGCAGGCTGGCAGGCGAAGGGTGCGCTCCCAGCAGCTCACTGCAGCGTTTCCCGGGCCAATTGCTGCACTGCAGTCCAGCCGGAGGCTGCGTGCGCCTGGGAGCATCTCCTCCAGCAGCTGGAGCATGGGGGGCTGCAGTCCTGGTCCTCGCCTGGGCTGTGGTGCCCCCCGCCAGGCAAGGTTAACCCCTCACAGCCCACCCTTCCTGCTCCAGTCCTTTGAGCCAGTTCCCGGGCGCTGGGCGGGCTGCAGCGGGGCTCCGTGCCCCGAGGAGACGAGCTCAGCTTTGCCCTCGCGCTCTGGGGGGAAAGGGGCTGGGGTGCACGGCCCCGGGAGGCCTGGCTCTGTGCCCCCCTCCCCTCCTCTGCGTTGCCGGCTGCGGGGCCTGCTCTGCTGCGCGCTGGCACGAGGCTTCCTGGGTGCACCCTTGTGCTACGGGCCCAGCCGGATGGGGCTCTGCGGGCAGTGTCTGTGTGTGCAACGCGCCTCTTCTCACAGGGGCTTGTCCTGCAGGCTGGTCTGGGCAGCACTGGGCACCGCGGGGTCCCCGGTGCAGCCTCCGAATCAGCTTGTCCTGGTCTGGGGGTGCCCTGAGCACCTGCACCGGTGTGTGGGCAGGGGCACGAGAGTCCCGCGATGGGCTGGGACGTGCGCGCTGCGGAGGATGCAGCCTCCGGTAATGCGAGCGCGTGTGTTTGCAACCGTAGCCAGAAAACCCGAGCGCGGAGAAGGAGGTGGCAGCCCCCCAGAGCCCGGAGCCACCGGCGAGCCCGGAGCCCCTGCTGAACGGCGATAGCCGGGCACCCCCTGCCCGGGCCGTGAACGGGCTGGAGGGCACGGGGGTGGGCACGCCGGCTCAGCCTGAGCCCGAGGCCGAGGACGGCTCGGGGCTGTCCCGGAAGAAAGTGGTGCGGGTGGTCCGCAAGGTGGTCCGCAAAGTGCTGCCTGGGGAAGAGCCCGGGAGGCCCAAGGAGCCGGCGCGAGATGCCAAGTCTCGGGAGCCGGTTTCGCCTGCCGGCAAGGAGAAAGCAGCACCGCGGGTGGCATCCCCGCCCCCGGCACCCTCCCCGAAGCCGGAGCCCAAGGACGAGCTCTCCATGGGCCTCAGGAGCCTCATGTCGAGGGCCAAAACCAAGGACCACCGGTCTCAGCCCCAGCTGGGAGGGAGGAAGGGCGAGGAGAAGCCCCCGGAGCCTGCGCCAGCCCCGGGGGGCAAAGACCCCGAGAAGCCCGGCCCCCAGGCGCCTGTGGAGGAAGAGAAGCGACCGGGGGCCAAGACGAAGCTGGAGCCAAAGGGGCCGCCGGCCGGGGCCAGAGCGGAGCCCCCAAAACCTGCAGCTCGGAGGCTGGGCGCCCTCGACAAAGCCCAGGTACCCGCGAGCCGCCTGCTCTTCGCGGCACTGGTGTGGGGCCTTGGCCCGTGGCTAACCCTGCCTGGAGTTCGGCGCGTGCGCCCGGACACCGGCTGTGTGTGTGTGCGCGTGTGCACTGGGGTCTGGGCACACATGGGTCTTGGGGGGGCAGCGCATGGCTTTCCTAACCATGGCACCCGTCCCGCTCGGTTTGGTTTGGTTTGGTGCGAGCTGGGGGCACGAGGCACGCTGGAGTGGTGCCCGGGACACACCGCTGGCCTCGCCCCGAGCTCCGGGACTGTCTGGGGAGCAGCTTGGGAGCCACGTGAGCTGCAGGGCTAGCGGCCATGGGGCCCAGTCCCTCTATCGGCCTCCAGCCTTCCTTTCCCAGGCTGCGCAGCGCTGGCAGGTGGGTCCAGCAGTGCCCTAGGCTGTGGCAGGTGCCCGCTCTGTGCACAGGGGTCTGTGTGTTGTGCATGCCAGCACGTGTCCTGTACACCCTCCCAACCCTTTGTGGCCAACCCCGTGTGTCTGAAGGGCTTGGCGGCGTGGCCTGTGTGCGGGGGGGCACCCGGGGCCTCGTTGGCTGCCTCCTTGCTGAGCCTGGCAAGGAGACGGGCCTGAGTCTCTGCCTCTGTGTCTGACCCGGTGCCGCGGAGCAGTCCCAGCCAGCGCAGGAGCTGCCCAGAGCCGCGGGCAGCTGCCCCCAGGTGTACGGTGGGGGTCCCAGGTGGCGTCCCCTGGACCCGGCCTAGCCGGGCAGTTATGCCAGCTGGGGTCGGGCCCGGGGGCTGTGACTTCTGCGGCTGTCGGACTGTGCCGGCTCCGCTCGGAAGGGGCCGTATCAGCGCCGTGGGCAGGGAGGGATGTTGGCAAAGGGGGCCGCGGCTTCTCCAGCAAGCGTTGGTTGCCCGTGTGCCCAGAGCCGTGTCCGCAGCCAAATATCCCGGATATTTGGCAGGGTCTGTGCCCGCATCGCGGGGGGTGCTTGTGCATGCGTGCCCCGGGGCCTGTCCTGCACGGCACGTGTCCCACTCCCAACCCGGCGCGGGGCTGGAGCCCTGCTGCCGGCTTGCAGCACCCCCGCTCCTCCCCGGGGGGTCCCGGGCCGTGTCCCCTGCCGTCAGCAGCTCCGACGGGAAGCAGGGGCTCTGCCGAGTCCCAGCCCGGGGTACTTGCTGGCTCGCTGCCCCCTGGCAGCTCCTGTGCTGAGCGGGTCCAAGAGGCGCGGTGCCCTGGCCCCCTCTCCATGCCGCAGCCGGCACCGGGGCAACATTCATGCCGCTTTGCCCCCCAGGCTGCTGCCGTGCCCCCGAGCCCGCCGGAGGAGGCGCACCGGAGGCTGGAGAGGATCTTCACAGCTTCTGTAATTGGCTCAGTTCCTTGCACGCTGCTCCTCCCCCCTCGCACGCGTGTGTGCTCCGCTGGCCCCTGTGACGGCCCCAATGGCGCGTGCGTGTGCGAGGCTCTCCCGCCTGCCTGTGCCTTCTCCCTGCGGCCCCGGGGGTAGGGTCTGTCCTTGCCCCCATCGCGGCCTGGACCTGCTGCTGCTGCACTGTGCCTGCCTGCGCGGAGGCTGCTTTGCCCGCAGAGCCCATCCCTGTGGGCGCTGGGCACCCCACGCTGTGGCGCTGCTGGCCCAGTCCCACTCGGGCACTGCAGGTGCCTGGCACCGCAGCTCCCTGCCGCTTGCGCTCGCGGGACGGGGCGACTCGCCTAGGAGCAAGGCGGGGGCGGGAGAGCTGCAGGTTGCCAGGGGCCGGCTCCCTGCACCTGTCCCTGGCGGTCAGCGGAAAGGCAGGATCGTGGCCGGGGTCTGCGGCCCGCCGTGTCCTGCGCATCACGGCCCCGGTGCCGTGGGTAGCCTGCCACCCCCCTGCTCCGAGCGGGGCGCTGGGCCGGCTCCGGGGATCCCGCAGGGGCCTGTGAGGTGCCCCTGTCCACAGGGCGGGGGTGTGCCGGTACCTAAAGCCTCTGGGCCTGCTGGCGGGAGCCGCACTCGTGCCCCGGGGAGGGGCAGGGCTGCCCCGGCCTTCCTGCGAGCCGGCGCTTGGGCTCCGCGACACGCGCCCGCAGCCTCCGCGCCATCTCACCCTCTCTTCTCGTTTCTCTCCTCCTTGCCTTGCTGCCGTTAGCTGGACCCCGCGCCCTCGGCCTCGGCACCGAGCCAGGTACTGTACCCCCGGCCGCCGGGGGACCTGCCGCCGGCTCCCGTCGGCCTCTGGGCTGGTGTCTGTGCACGCGCCTCGTGCTGGAGTGTAAGGCTTCCCCCGCCGCCCTCGCCATCCGCTACGTCCATGGCGCTTGCGCTCGCCCCCACAGCCGCCCCGGGTCGTGCCCCGTGGCAGGGGAGGGCGCAGGGCCGCTGGCTCGCTGCCCTCTGTGGCTGACCTGGCCCCAGGCGGGGGCCGCCGCAGCTGCTTCATGCCCCCTGGACCCCAGGTGCCTCGTCCTGGAGCCAGAGCTGGAGGAGAAGGAGCCTCGTGGAGCTGGGGGGCCCCGGGTTTTGCAGGGGCTCTGCCCAGAGCGTGCGGGCAGCGGGGCCCAGCTCTCCCACCGGGCTGGGGCCCTGGTCAGGGTGAATCCAGCACGCGCCAGCAGCGTTCGGGGCAGATTGCGCTCACCCCCATCCCTCCAGCCTGGGGGCCGGCCGGTCGTCCAGCGCGGCGGCCTGGCACGTCCGTGGGCGGCACTGCCCGGGTTGTCCCCTCTGAGTGCCGGGGCCCGAAGCCCCTACGCCTCCTGGCTGCCCGCCCTGAGGTGCCCTCCCATCGTGCAGCCGGCGCGCCAGGACGTCTGAGCGCATGCATGCGGCTCGGACGTCCCTGCAGGGTCAGGGGCTGCCCGGGCGGGGGCACCGCGGGCGGAGAGCAGCAGCAGAGCTGGGCGTCCGCCACGCCACATCCCACGCGCTTCATCTGCTTCTCCTGGCGGCTTTGCCTGCTGTCTGCGCCCACCGCGCGGGAGGGCACTAACCCTTTGCACCTTGTTTCCCTTCTCCTGGGCGGCCTCCGTAGGGCCAGGTGGACGATGCCCCAGCAGCCGTGGTTGGGCCGGCCTCCGCCGCCTCTCTGCCTCAGGTTTGGCCTCGTTAGCGCTGCCCGTGGGCGTTGAGGCAGGGCGTGCACGTGTGTGTGTGTGTGTGTGTGTGTGTATACACGTGCACATGTAGGCGTGTGCAGCCTTGTGTTTGAGCGGCCCTCTCGCCCTCCCCAGAGTGGTCCAGCTTGCACACGCGTGTGGGTTTTATTGCATGAGGTGTGGCATGTCGTCCCTGCCATGCTCTGCTCCTCTCCTCATGGTGTGTGTGTGGGTGTATTGCGGGGGGTTGCGGGCACGCGGTTGTCGCCACATCCCTGGTTGTGCTTTCTTGCCCCCTCTTCAGTGCACAGTCTGGTCTGGGAAGGGTTCGACCATCCCCAGGTGCGAGTGGGGCTGACTTGGGCACGCTGGTGCCCGCTCCATGTGCTGGCCTGGTGCAGATGCCCTGTGCGCAGGGGTCTCCTGCCTCCTGCCCTGGAGGGCATCTCAGCTGTGCCCCGTGGCCATGCTGTGTCCAGGCCCGTGGGTGGGGGCAGTCGGACGTGGCAGCAGGGCCAGGACTAGGGGGCAGGCACGAGGGACGGGGTCCCAGGGTGCAGGGCATCTCCCTTCACCGGAGCACAGGCTTCCTCCTCCAGCCCCGGGCACTGCTCGCTCTCCGGGGTGTGGGGGCTGACCCATGTCTTCCCACCAGCAGGCCAAGACGGAGGAGCAGATCGCGGCCGAGGAGGCCTGGTACGAGACGGACAAGGTGTGGCTGGTCCACAAGGATGGCTTCTCTCTGGGTGAGCGCGGGGCGCGCGGCATGGCGCGGCGGGGAGGGAAGGGGCGTCCTGCATGCGTGGTCCCTGCCTGCTGAGCCGGCGGCCGCTAGGTGTCAGCACGTCCCCGCGTGCGGCCGGCCGGAGCGGGCTGGAGACAGCAGTGCCGTGTCCCCTCTGCCCCGCAGCCAGCCAGCTGCGAGCCGAGGACGCCAGCCTGCTGCCCGAGGGCAAGGTGAAGGTGCGGCTG